TATATATATATAATAATTTGCCTTGCCTATGAAGCATCGTATATATAATTGATGGTAATGTATTATACACGTACACACACACATATATATATATATATATATATATATTATTATATAATTGGTTTTTGTGTTATCTAAGCAGCATACATTAATAAATTCGCCTCAATCAAGACCGATACTAAGGTATTATAATACACAATTCGATGTCTAATAATTAATATATATATAATCAAGACCGATACTAAGGTATTATAATACACAATTCGATGTCTAATAATTAATATATATATAAAAAAGCTGTATAAATGGACACAATAATGAATTAAAAACATTAAACCTTTATTTCCTTGTGTCGAACTTAGCTTTCTTTTGAACTACCATGTTTGTCGGTCGTAAAGTGTTATCTTTTGTTTTATTTACCGAATATTTGGTTCTCATGGAAAAACATCAGAAAATGTAGAGTATTCTGCAGTATTCAAGAAAATAATGTGCCCGAATACAACTGGCGATTCCATTATTTTACACAGTAAAAAAAAGGCCTATGTTACAGTTTCGCCCATTATAGACGGTTTGCCATGTTGGTATTCAGGCACATGTGGGATGTATGCACTCTATGGAGTGTCTGCTCTACTTACCCTGTGTCAAACCTCGCCACATTTCCATGTCACACTCACACACACGTTGCTTATGTCACACACCCGCTTCCTACAGTATCAAACACACCGCATCGGTGTCTAACACAAACGTTTCTAGTATGTGAAGCTCATGCGGTTTCCATTATCAAAAACACAACATAATTTTTCTTAAATTGCCTAAGCCTTGATTGAAAGATTCCAATTCATTATCTAGATCATTTTACAAACATTACAATATGCATTTCTTATACAACATTTTGCTCCTGGTGCTGTGTGCTGCCGATGATACTGGTGAAAATGACGATAATAAAAAATTGTGAAAATGATAATGTTGTTCATTATAATGGCGGTGATGGTGATGACGTCGATAACGACGATGGTGGTGAACTTTGCTGATAAATAAGTCAACGGCAATGATTTTAATTGATTGACGGAGATTTAATCATGATCTGTGAATCCGACAAAATGCGTTTGAAAACACCGTTTCAATTTTCTTCAAACTGCACAAAAAAATTGTCAAATGATTTCTAATCGTATTTCAGACTTGAGTAATCAATAGAGGGCAGTATAGGCCTATATGGTTTTTAACGATTTACTGATGACAAATATAGGTTTCTGGTAGGAGCATGAATATACTGCAGAATCTAGCGTTTGTTAATCTTGAGTTTGTTGACAGTACTACACCTAAGTTCGAAAGGGTAAAAATTACTCTAAACATAGTCCATTTTCAGACAAGGTGCTATCAGCCATTGGTCATCTGTCAAAACGTCGGATCAATTATCAACTCCTTGATGAAACTACATTCACACTTTACTTGGCACCCGACTTGGAATGCCTGTCAAATGCAATTAACTGAAATAAACCTTAATACATTTCATTTTACAGATATTGAACCTTAGCACATTAAATTTTACAGAACAATTCTACTACCACAGCATAGAGTACCGGTATATCTGTGCAGGCGCAGTATACTCAAAACTTTAGTACTTCGGCGAGGCTTTTCCAAACAATAAATGCAATAAAATATTTGATTATGAGGTAGTTCGATATTAAGCTACTATGTCGATTTTGCTGTCTCAGCAATATTTCTCAAAGTAACTACAATACCGGTTTGATGCAATGCCATAGCCAGAATTTTCAATAGGGCGGGTCAATATCAGGGTGGACACATTTTACGCATAAATTCAAATATTCTTTGAAAATGTGGAACCATTCTTTGTATAATGTGGACCCAATAGAACAATTGTGCGGGACTGTCCCAACTGCCCTCGGATTGCTTTCATGTGTCAAAGATTACATTATTTTTTTGCTCTTATTACTGATGACCAATGAAAGGTACATGCCGTACTCGCACAAATAAGCACCCCGTTTGAATAAGCGCCCCTAAAAAATATAATCATACAGTAAAGTACATCACCAACTTAATTTTCTGCATCAACTATTCGCATCTATCTTAGCATTGTCGGTCTATCAGTCTCCCTTTAAGTTTAACATGGTTGTCAGTTTGATGCATCTTTAGAATCCCGTTCTTGTTTTATTGCTACCCTTTTTGGATTTAGAACTACAGTGTTTAATATCTAAAAAATAAAATACTGTATGGCCATTTTCAGTCAACAAAAATAAACTGATCTCATCAGTCGCATATCTAAGCAAGAAACTCTGCAATGATCCTACTAATCTGAATTGGCAGATGGTCAACACGCTTACCACCACCACCACCACCACCAACTTCATCTGATACTCCCAACATTCTTGTCATGAGCCATACTCTCTCGACGATTACATATTCTTCACCAAAACCATTCGTTTATCATCGATTTAAAAAAAGTGCCCCTTGAATTTTCCAATTTCCCATAAGCATCCCTTCAATTTTTATCTATTTTTGCATAAGCGCCCCTTCAATTTCCACTCTGTTTTCATAAGCGCCCCGTTTGAATAAGCCCCTCAAAAAGAGCCAAAATGTTTTAAGCGCCCGGACGCTTATTCGCGCGAGTACCGTATTTAGTCGAAGAAACTCCTCGGGGTTATTGTCATAACGATTTATTGCGTGATCATAAAGGCTTATTGATCCCAACCAGGTTAGACAAATCGTAATTCTACTGAAGTTAGAATATTAATAGAATGTGTTGAGAATGATGTTGCTTCCATCAGTTTTGCTTACAGTCAATAAGGGTGGGGGTGGGAATAAATACACGTTTATTCGATAAAGGCGTTTATTCCAAATGAGTCTTTGAATGAGGTGTTTATTTCAAGCGGGGCGTGCAGTATTGTACTCTGAAAATACACAAACCTATAATGTGATAATTTTTTACTTAAATTTATTTTTGTCACCTACAATATTCAGATATGACAAGCCTCACTTAAAAATGCCATGTCATAATTACTATTTTGATAATTACAATTTAACACCAATTTTACTTTGAAGCATTTTAAAATGAATAAACTATAGTAAAGGTTTGTGTAATACAATCTGTTTTTGTCTTTCAGGTGGTAGCGGTAATATCGATACTATTCATTGTGTTATCAACAATAGGACTTTCATTGAATACAATTGATAACTTTACAGTAATTGATGAAAATGGAGACGAACATGAAAACGAACATCTTGTTATGGTCGAAAAGGTGTGCATTGCCTGGTTCACCTTTGAGTACGTTCTACGTTTGGTATCAGCACCTGATAAATGGAAGTTCTTCAAAGGTGTGCTGAACATGATCGATCTTATGGCTATCTTACCATTTTATATCACCCTCTTCGTTACCAACGAAAAGGTCCTAAAATTCGATAATGTACGGAGAATCATCCAGATTTTCCGTATTATGCGAATTCTACGGATTCTGAAATTGGCTAGACATTCTACCGGGCTACAGTCCTTAGGGTTTACATTAAAGAGAAGTTACAAGGAACTTGGCTTGCTCATTTTGTTCTTAGCGCTGGGAATATTGTTGTTTTCCAGCCTGGAGTATTTTGCAGAAAAAGATCAGCCACAAACAGATTTTACAAGCATACCAGCAGCTTTCTGGTGGGCCGCAATTACAATGACCACTGTTGGGTACGGAGATATCTACCCTGTTACAGAACTTGGAAAGGTAATTGGTGCAGTGTGCTGTGTTTCTGGCGTACTGTTCATTGCTCTACCGATTCCTATTATCGTGAATAACTTTTCTGAATTCTACAAAGAACAAAGTAAGCAAGAGAAGGCATTGAAACGACGCCATGCTTATGAAAAAGCCAAGAAAAATGGTAGCTTGCTCAGCTTGGTTAGCAGTGATAATGACGTTGACTTCGCTACGATTGATGTTATCATTGAATCAGCAAGGAATAAGGCTGACAACAATGCATGTGAAAATAGAATGCCACCTCCAGGATGTAGTAGTAAGCTCGAAAATAACCAGGACGCTTCTTCCTGTTGCGGAGCTGTTGGTCTCGAATTTCAAATGATACATGTCGTGCCAGAGGTGGATGTGAAATCATGTCACTCCGCTGACAAATTGCCGCCACCGAGATATCCTAGAAATCGAAGCCTCAGCTCAACCACTTATACTGATCACGCTAACCGTCAGAGTTCAAGTAGTTTGGCATCTGATCCATACACGTCAGTTGACTACCCGGATGTTCAGATGTCTCCTCATCGTCATAACACGTGTCATGTACATGATGAGTATGATACTAATGGTTTACATCCATATATTCATAGACAGCATATACCAAGTTTAGGGCAGCTCAATAGACAACGGGGGATGGACATGATCTCTTCAGAAGTTGCATCAGATGGCAGTGATAGGCTCATTCCAAAAAATGAACATTGCCAGCCACAACACAATGAATACGATGTTACACCAACCACTGATGACGCACGGGAAGCCGATGAGACAGAGCCACTACTTCGCAGACATTCACCTTTAAAACAAGTCAAGAGCAACGCTGACAACGAAGGCGTTGTTGATAACAATGAAGGTATCGTAGTGGTGCAGAAGTTAGATAATGGATACACAACGACTTGGATAAAAGCTGATCAAGAAGGGAATGGACCCGTCAGCTCACCGAAATCACTAAAGCCGGCATTAAGAACCGCCCTTAGCTCAGGTGATGACAGACCAAAGTCACCAGCCAGTCCTGATACTCAAAGCATTAAATGTTCGAAACCAAAACGTGTAACCATAGATGATGAAAAAGATAATGAATCTTCAACAAATTCAGAGGGTAGCCTAACAAGTAGTCCTCAACCACGCCTTGCAAAGAAATCCGCGGGGAAAGGCAGGTGTCGTAAGAACAAGATGAGACCAGGCTTGCTCAGTGGCATCACAACTGGATTGCGACTGTGTAATCACAAGCCATGGCAAAGAGAGCCATCGTCGCCTGAGCCAAAACCCACCAGTGACAGTTGTCCTTCAGATGGTCAGATTACTACCCCACCACGCCAACGAACTAACAGGACTGATGTTAGCAGAACCGCGTCCGATTCCTGTAAAGAAGGCAGAACAAAAATAGCCGAAAATGGGCAAAGGACCGTCGTTAAAGATATAAGATTTGGAATGTCGCCAGACCTGACAGCATACCGTCAACGAAGAATGTGTAAAGAAAACAATGGAACGACGTGCTCTCAAATGAAGTCTCGATCACTCGATGAGTCCACTTTGCATGCTACTGGAAATGAGAGTAAACACGCTATTTGGTTTCACTACGCCTCCGAGAATTGGGACATGCCACTTGCAAGGTCCAAGACTCAGCAGCCTGTTGAAAATAGCAGCTAGTTTAGATGTGATGGTTCAGTTCGCCATGCCTTCATTTTGGTCAATTTAAAAACGTCACCAATTGTAATCTTCAGCCTAATAATGAAATAATCATTTATTCAGTAAGCCTATAGAAATTAAAATCCCAGTAGTATAGGTTTGCTTTTATACCTCAACATTGCAGAAGATCATGTCTTTTATGTCTTAAGTGTTTTTTTTTAATTGTAAAACGTCGATAGTCTATGCACATAGAGGCCTATATATTAAACAAAAAGTGTGTGTGGCAACAGTAACTTACAATCTATAAACCCATGTACGTGCATGTATATTTACTGAATGTATATTACATAATAGGGAAAATATAAAACTTATAAATGATATGAAGTAATATGTTATACAATACGCATGTGTATAGAATAGAATTTTCTACCAGAGCAGAGTAATTATACCGGATGCCATTCTATTACCGTAACTAAAAAGGACATTACTATTATTGCATCATCGGACAGTACAGAAACATTAATTTATGGAACAAATATTGTGTTTCACACTTATTTTGCGTGTATTAATAATATTTTATAATGTATATATATATATATATATATATATATATATATATGTATATTGTGTATATATATACATCCATACATATATATATGTATATTATATATATATATATATATATATAAAAACATATATTGCCTTGGTTTGGCTCTGTAATCATTAGTGGTAGTGGGACTGGTTTGGGCCCTTCCTAAGCTGGTCAAACGTTTCTTTTGGGTCTATACCCCAGCTGCACTGATGAGTCCTGGAAGGCCGAATCGGATCCGTCTGCAGATATTGGGATTCCTTCCAGTGGATACTTAGTTGTTTATTTTGTCATTCTGATCGGATTTTCTCTACTGTTCCGTTTTAATTATATATATATATATATATATATAAAAACATATATTGCCTTGGTTTGGCTCTGTAATCATTAGTGGTAGTGGGACTGGTTTGGGCCCTTCCTAAGCTGGTCAAACGTTTCTTTTGGGTCTATACCCCAGCTGCACTGATGAGTCCTGGAAGGCCGAATCGGATCCGTCTGCAGATATTGGGATTCCTTCCAGTGGATACTTAGTTGTTTATTTTGTCATTCTGATCGGATTTTCTCTACTGTTCCGTTTTAATTATATATATATATATATATATATAAAAACATATATTGCCTTGGTTTGGCTCTGTAATCATTAGTGGTAGTGGGACTGGTTTGGGCCCTTCCTAAGCTGGTCAAACGTTTCTTTTGGGTCTATACCCCAGCTGCACTGATGAGTCCTGGAAGGCCGAATCGGATCCGTCTGCAGATATTGGGATTCCTTCCAGTGGATACTTAGTTGTTTATTTTGTCATTCTGATCGATATATAATGTATTATATAATGGGTATTTGCATTAACTTAGCAGCATACATTAGTAAATTGGCCTCAATCAAGACCGATTCTAAGATATTATATACACAATTCGATGTGTATTTAATAATTAAATAAAAGCTGTATAAATGGACACAATAATGAATTAAAAACATTAAACATATTACCTTGTGTCTAACTTAACTTTCTTTTGAACTACCGTGTTTGTTGCTCGTAAAGTGTAATCTGTTGTTTTATTTGCTGAATTTGGTTCTCATGTAAAAACATAACACGATATAATACTTATTTGCATAAAATACGATATTTATTTTGAAATACAAAAATGTTACAAAATCAAATTCGTATAATAGACCTATAATCCTGCCTTATATACAAATACTATAAGTAAGTATATAAATGCACAGGGTGGGGGTGGGAGAAAGTGGGGGGAAATGTAAATTTTTAGGGTGAGGGGAAAATATGATTTCCAATAGCAGACCGGAGATACAATTATAATTTATAAAGTCACATTAACGTGTAACGCTTCTGTCCATGTGTTTCTTATTTTTATTTAAATGCTCAGTGTATTTATATCAAACTGTAATAAGTTTGTGAAATGCATTGTTTTTAAGTGGCCAGTGGCCTTGAAATGACAGACCGATGGGAGCATTTAATTTTCTGGGCGAAATTTCTCCTTGGACCATCTAGCGCCACCACTGATATTGTTAGATTTTCCGTTGTGAAGGGACCCTCGTAATCGACTACTAATGCATGGGGTCCATAACAATACACTTTCTCGCCCCCGGTCCCGTGAATCGTTGTCACGTTACTGTGATCTCATTGCAACTACATATGTCAATCAAGAAAGAGCACCGTGATTAATACTGCAAGCATAATTATGAGCAGAATTGGTTTGGGTAGGCGGGGCAATAATACCAGGTAAATACTCGATACAGCCTGGTACATTAATATCTCTTGTCAATAGGCCTAAATCATTTTTGGGTTGCCCAAAACAAAGAAAGCATTATACCATTTATCCCATACTTAAATATTAATGTATGTATACGGAAACTCAACAAATGTTAATAAAAACTTCACATAGTTTTGAAAAGCACATAGTAAGTTTGGGGAATAACCTGGAACATAACTTCTTCTACTCCTGTCTCTCCCCCCCCCCCCCCAGTGGGACCAGGTAAGAATATTAAATATTGAATTTGCTGATCGTAGTTGTTGGTTGCTGTTTGTTGTTATTGTTGGTTGTGGTGGTTATTGTTGCTAATATTTATATCGTTGGCTGTTGGTTGGTGTCGTATGTGGATATGAATGTGTTTGTTATTCCTGCTGCCTTGCAAAAGATCATCTATTTAACGAACATTAGCAATGTGTTATAGAATAAAGTAGTTTACAGAATATCAACCAACTATATTCGTTAATTTTAATTGTCCACGTGAATCTGAAGCCAAACATGTGAAGAGATGGTCATCATCTCCTTATCTATCATGAAAATCGTCACCTTCTGTTTCAACATGCTGAAGTTGATGTATTTATAGAGTAATGAGTAGATAATTATTAGAAGTACAAAAGCAACAACAGCAACAGCATCAGTAGCAAAAACAGCAGCAGTTGATTCTACAACTTAGTGGTAATAAAAATGTTAAAACAATAATATTTAGAACCATTACGTCTAGTGCCACCGAGAGGGGGGCAGGGGCAAGATCCCAGGGCCCAAGTTTACCTGGGGGCCCAAAGAAATTACAGGTATAGCATTTTTTTCAATATTTATTTCAAAGATAATAAATACTATCATGGGCCCTCAATAATGGCATGGGTCCCCTAATAATGGGCCCTTCCAGATTGACAGGGCCCCTGAAAAAAAATGTTTGTGCCTTCGACGCAATCTTTCTCGTGTTTCGCACTCATAACTGGGGCCCACACCAACTCTTGGCCCTGTTATAGTTTCTCCTCTGGGCGGCCCATACGTCCATGGTCCATGAATTCATAATTGGAAAACAAACTGCAACTTTCTCTGCTCCCTCTAGAATGTTATCTAGTTGTGCTGCAATACACTGTAGACAAACATTCAATGCCACAAAATCATACCAGGTACCCACTTACTACTTCGGGTAGACAGACACATTTTTGTCAAGTGCCTTGTCCAATACAAAAGCCAAATTCACAGCCAGGTTGTCAATGTCGGACCTTAACTACTTACAGTAAATATTCATATAACTTTTAGACAATGTATCAATTTTGTCACAAATTATTTTATTCATATTTTACAAACATACCTTTACATACTATCTAGACGAAAAACCAAAATTACACCAAAATTATCACCAAATTATATACATATTCTAGAGTATAAAAATGCACAGAACACACGAAATGTAGCATAAAGTTCTTAATTTCCGTTCTCAATGAAGTCTACTTCACGAAACAGTTGAATGAAAATTAATTCTCAAAGAAAAATCGTTCTCAACGAAACGTACCAGTCGAATATTTTGTTGAAAACATGAGGACTATTATTATGAGGGCTTTCCTCCTCTGTGTCCACTGTCTTACCATAAATCGTAGAAATATTTGATTATATATTTTGGATAATTATTGCATTAAACATAAAATCCATGACTATTTAGGAAAAAATTTTCATAATTTAATTAATTTCAAATTAAACTATAAAAACTATTACAATTATAACAATAATAAGAACACAACTGTATGAAATGTCAAGATTAAATTAGGGCAGTGCCCCAGTTTTGTAACCGCATTTGCTAAGGGAATCAAACATTTTTATACTTAACCCTTGTCCAATATTATGTCCACATTTTCCATTTACCACTTCATTACTGTATACATAACATTTAATTGAACGAAAATCTATATTAGCCTGGTTTCATTAAAATCGCTACACCGTCACTACAGTGCTTTCAGTGCAGTCGTTGTACTGAGGAGCAGCAATGGTGCAATCGGGAAGGCCCCTTGATTAGACCGACCAATCAGCTTCACCGAAAGGTAGCAGTTGTATGGAAACCAGGTTGTACCGGCGGCACCTACCAAAACAAGTAATAGTAAATTTATTAATGAAAAAATAATTTTTTGTTTAAAAAAAACTCTCATATTGACTCAAATAGTAACACTGAAACAAACTTTATCCTAATAAAAGCCCAAAATTTAGCATATCGTTAACAGATAAATAGACTGGATTTTGTATGTTTATAAACAAAAATACTAGTGTAAACACATTTGTACTCGCTTACAAATTGTAACATTTAATTTACTTTATACAGTACGCAAATAACCATGGTTTGTTTAAGTACTAATTCTAGTAATGAATTTTAAGAAAAACAAAAATCATATTTTCTTAAAATAAATAAATGTTGTCTGTGATAAAACCTGAAAAAACATTCCTCACAATATCAATTACAGTTTCTATTCAAATAAACGCACCTTCAGAGCCCTATAAATGCCACCCTCAAATAAATGCCCAGGGGGGGAGGAGGTTATTATTTCTATAAAACAAAATACCCCCCCCCCCCAATGACCGTAAAATAACCAATGGCAGCAACGTTCTCCTCAACACATTCTATTAATGTTCTACTCCATTAGAATTACATTTTTTCTAACCTGGTTGGGCTCAATAATCAAATTTATGATTACACAATAAAACAGTGTAGTTCCACATTTACAGTAAAATTAAGGGGAGTTTATTCGAGTACATAATACATATCCATTTTACACCCCCAAACAAAAATACATAAATAAATGCCTCCAGCAAAATAAACGCCACCTTCGAAACCTTCAACATTCAAATAAATATGGTATAACACTAAATTTAACTGCTCATAATAAACAGCATTAATTAGGTCATCTACATTCAATGAGAGACAAATCAAGGGAATATAGTTGTCACTGTTTATAGACACTTACTACAGGACAAAATTTGTTCATCAGCCAAGTGTCTTTGCGCAAAAGAATACAAACAATATTTATGTGTGGCTGTTTATTTATCAATCTATATTTATTAATAATTGAAAGCTAAAAACTTAGATAAATATACAACGTTTAAAGCAATTTAAATTGTTGAAATGTTTATTGCTCAAGTTATCTGCACAATTTCAAGATATGTTCCATAATTTTTGTCTATAAATTTCAAAAATAAATAAGCATCAACTAAAACAAGTCTAAACTAAAATATGAGCTATAAACCATTTTCAATGCTCAAGATCACTTACATCCTACCAACATTAAAGCTATAATAATAGTACATCATTCAGCTGAAACCAAGATGAGTTTTTGAATACTTTTCCAGACTTTCCTGTCTGTCGTAATACCGTTTTGTTTTTTGTTTTTTTTTTGGTTTTTGTTTATTTTTTGTTGGAACCATTCTCAAAGTAAGATTTCAACATATTTAAAAGCCTTCACTGCTAATGTTGTGTCCTATTGTGAGATCCAACTTCAATATCGGTGAACTCTCAAACAATAATACATTTTATTGGAGTGATGTTTTGCCCTACATATGTGTTATCGTACCAAATACTCAGTACGTTTCCAAAAACTTGCCAAAAAAAAAATTGCAAGTGATTCGGTTAGGAAGCGAACTGACAAATTTCAGATAAGACACCTGGTGTCGTAACCACTAGACCACTAAGCTTGCGCTTAGTGACTAGTGATGAGTCTAAACCTAAAGTCGATAACACGTCAGATAGGGCAAAAACACCACTCCTATGATATTTTCCTGATGCAAACACACTTTAAAATTATGAAAATACATTCTTAATACATTTCAACAAATGACAAGAGTACAGCCATTACCTGCAACCTCATGAATAATGTAAGAGAGATATCAATTCAGTATTTAAAATAAATTTCAAAATTTAACATTTTGAAATTCAATTAAATATTTACCTAAGTTAACACAATATTTTTTAACATTAACTTATTCATATAACAAATATGTTAAATGAAATTTATCATTAACACATTTACTGCCATGCAAATTTGACATTACATATGATAGTAAAATAAAGCCTGACAATGAGGGCCTGAAAATAATATCACCAATAATTTAAAAAAAAATAACCAGAAAATACAGCAATTGATAAACTATGATGATATTAAATAAATATAAAATTGTTATTCTACATAATTCATACAGTACTGTACCTCTAATTCGTAACCTGTACTCAACCTCTTCATTAATGGGTGAAATTGCATTTACATTTTTCTCTTGGTAAATGGCTGCGAAAATTACACCATACAAAAATGGCACTCAATATGTTATACTTGTAGGTTCACCATCATGATTGCAAACAATTTAAACAAAAATAGAAATTTCATTTTTAATAAAAACATCAGGAGGAGGGCAGTATCATGAAGGGACCTACTTCTACCCTTTGACAACTTCTTCAAGCTTCTCAAGGAACAGTTGATGGTCATGTAGTGATGCCAACAGGCCGTGTTCATTCTTCTCATCGCCTTTAGATGCGTAATTGTAATTAACAAGTTGGCCCTGGAGAGTTGTCATTTGTTCATGAGATGCACGGATGATGGCATCGCCGGCACATATATCCCATTTCTTGATCAAGGTGGTATGTACGTAGGCATCCGCAGTACCATCAAATAATGACAATACTTTATAACCTGTCAAAGAAAAGTGTAGCAATTTCAATGATGAACAGATAGAAGATGACTAAATTTTTACATTTTAATATTATAATTAATAATAAAACAACTGAATGAAGAAAGGTTTATGTGTGCATAATGATTTTTATGCTTGAGGACTGTACGTTGTAGTTGAGTTGTTGCAATTATGTCAGATATTTTTAATGGCCTGGACTAGGGAGGTTTCGATTGCACGATGACGGTAGGACGTATAACGTAATGACGTCACTAAATGTCATCTACGCATGCGAGAACGTGAAGTTCTCGTCGCGTGTATTCTAGGACGCAATTTGGCCAAATCTATGTATGCAGAGAACGTAGGACGTTTGGTAGGACAGTCACACATGAGTGATTCCGTTCTAGCATCGCGTTGTCAAACAAATTAAAAGCTCCCTAATATCAGTGCTTGGCCAGGGCTTTAAGCTCTGCCTACGCTATCAAACTCTATGTGACAAATACCTTTGATATGCCCATATTTGGATGTAATATGACATCATCATGCCCATATATGGGCACATCCACACAAGTTTGTCACATGAAATTTAATAGTTTGGACAGAGCTTTAGTGAGCAGTGTAATATTTCTAATTTGAATTTATTAATACTTCTAGTGATATTATCAATTTGTTATATGAATTCAGCACAAAAAGTACATTTTTTCTTGTCAGCTTCTTGTTATATACAACTGTAACAATGGCCTTATGTATGTCAGAATGATGACAGGGAATACACTGCTTACTCCCCTAAAAAGTATTTCGACTAGTACAGCAGCATGGTAATAGCTGATACTTTGAAAAACAATTTTTAACATACCTGCTCCCCCTGCTGGTATTACCGTAGTCTTTTCTCCAAACGACTTATGCGCAACATCCTCAACCGCGCCTTGGTGACTTCTAGACACAATAATCACAGGGTTGACAGCCCCATCTTCCCGGCTCTGTGGTTTCTCTAAGCCATTAGACTTAGCCATATCAACCCAAGCCCACTCTAAAATAATAACAAAGTACCACAATTAGCTTGGTACTGTATGAATATCTGAATCATCCAAATTGATTAAGGTTAAGCTAATAAATAACACAATCCTCCTGCCCCTTTCCCTAAACAAAATCCCTTTCAATTCGAATTATAACTGAAGCTAGATGTTTGTATGACAGTTTGTAATTATGCAATGTTGATACTACTTCATACTACCATACAATAACTAAGTAACACTTGCTCAGCTTAAAAGTACCTATAATGTTGCTGACTTCATCAGCCAATTTCAGCAGTTGGTATAAAATTTTACCTTTTCCTACTAGGTACCGGCAAGGAAGTGTAAACTATGCAGGTTTTTAGTGGAATTTCCGGAAACTGGAATGATATTCATCTTTTTTAATTGAGTCTCTCTTGAAAACTATTGATCAAACATAAATTTTAAAAACACCTTTGTAAAGCTTATTTCATTATCTTTCATATGGTACTAAATATGTTCAAATCCATTCACAATAAACATATATAAAACGTACTAGAAGTATAGTCACTCAGTAGAGAATTGGGTTAGTGAGTACAGCAAACCTGGCGGCGCCGCGCACAGCCAATGAAAGTACCTATTGAAAACTATGACAGCGGAGGGAGGCCGTTAACAAAGGAGAATAGCCAATTGCAAAAATATTTTCTCCAATAATTGGGCTTCAACTAGGTACCAAATTTAAAGTATTTCTGTCCTATTTTGATATCTAAAAATCGCTAGGAAACTTTTTCAAAACTTCAGATCTAATTTTGAGCTATTTTTCGTGTGATGACCCCAATAGAAATACCCATCAAAATAAAGCTTAGGATGTAAGCTTTTCAAAGAAGAAGGAAGGAGAACGATTGATGGAACGGCGAACCGCCGCCGCCAGAAAATCGATGCTCACTTGTTTAACTCTCAAGCTGAAAAATAAGCCAACCAGACGACAAAACACTATGGTGGATGTCACAGTTGACGCGGACGATGATCCGTTTCAACCGTGGATACTTCGTGAAATCGGTATAATAATTATTTTTGATTATTAAGTTAACTCTAATATATATATATTTGAAGGGAACTGCCATTTTAAATATTACTTTAAAAATGCCGTTATCGGCGTCACTGGCTAAGAAACTGCGTTTCCACCGCCAATCCATTCTTCGCAGTGATATAGGCCTAGGCTAGGCCTAGGT